AATCCTCGCAGAGCTAGACGCCGAGGCGGCAAAAGACCTTTCTCCCAACACCCCCCCCTACACACACACCTGCTCCCTCCACGCCACCTCCATCCCCCCCCCTCCAGCAAAGTAGCAGTAAAGACGCTGAATCCTAGAAGCGGTGCGGACTCTGCGCCCCAGTCTAAGGGCTTTGACCTCTTCGACTTCGGAACAGGGCCCGTGTTAATTTCAGAGCCCATCCTGCGGCTAGCTCGAGGGGCTGGGGAACACAAACAGCCCGCTTGGCTTTTTACGAATGGACGGCGATCCACAGCAGTATCAAAAATAGGTGGCTTGTTATTATTCCAAGTGGGTCGTTGGACTCTTAACAGCAACCACGGGCGATCATTACCCCTTAGTAGTGGGCCTCAAAGATAAGAGAAAGGGCCACACCTAGACCAAGGCTGGGATATCGAACAGAGGACGTTGGACGTTTAACTTGGCAATAAGGCCACTTTATTCAATTGCGTAGGCTTCTAACTCAGCATTGTTAAGATTTTAGGGGTAGTATTTCAAACACCTAAGGGCACAGAGCCTTCCCTGGCCCTATACTGTTCGCGAGGCCTGCGCAGCAAAGCGCTTGGTTCAGGATCCTGAACTTCTGTCCACGATTAGACAGGAAAATAGATATTCCTCTTCCAACCTTCCCGCTGTATTCTGGGAAGTAAATTCTTGCCCCGTGACTTCCTGGTCTTCAGTACTGTACTTATGTATCTTTCCGCTCTAACTCTTAAAGTACGACATCACCGTTTTGATCTGCTGGTAGATCTACCTGGGGGGTTGGGGTTAGGGGGACGTGGATGCCTTTGAAACTGCTGAACAAACCCAAGAGAACATTCATTACCTAGCCCAACAAGAGATACAGAGAGTCAGGGAAGACTCCGGCGTTCCCTATGGATATTCCTGCCTGTGATTCCTGTAGGAATAATTCGAAAACACGTCCCAGAATGGGCCCCTCCCGTTGTGCTCTTTTGTTGTCAAGCCCCACTGATAAACAGAAAGGCAGTAAAACTCAGGAAGAAAGAAAGCCCAGCCCGACCCCATTCTTCATTCGTGTTCATTTGCATTAAAGTGCTTGGAACAGCTGTTTTCCTTACAAAACCGGAGAGACTTCTATCTGTTTTCCCGTTGTATTTGTCCTGCCTCCCAGGGTGAAAGGACTCAAAGATTAATTGTCTTAAGGTAGAGTTAGATGTGGGAAAGGCCTTTTTTCCG